CGAGTTTTTCCCGTCCCTTCGTGCTGTGAGGCTAAATGGATATCCCCAGCGGTATGGAATGTTATTGTCCCATAACAGTGTTAACAGTGGCTGCAGTAGACGTCTTTGCTGCAACGTATACCATGAGAGGTCCTGATATATCTGAAGAGGGGCTCCCTCAAAGTCAATATTTGGCATATTGCGAGCTTTCCGCAGTTTTCCCTCTTTTACCTGGAAATAGTGGATTCTGCAAATAACATCCCTCAGAGTAGAGCACGAGCCTCTCGGACGCAGTGCTCTGTGTGCACGATCCAACTCTATGTTTTGCGACACTGGGGCCCCAAGCACTTTATTGAACAATATTTGCAGTTTGGACTGGAGGTCTTCCGGTCCGTCTGTTTCCGGTAGTCCTTTAATTCTCAAGTTATTACGTCTACCTCTGTTATCAAGGTCTTCCACTCTACGTTGTAGTTCCCGAATCTCAATGGAATGGTCGACATATTGAGATTGTATCATTTGTACCTCTTTTTTCGTTGTCTGGAGATCCTCGTCTACATCTGTCACCTGTTGGGCCAGTTGTCGAAAGTCTTTACGGAGAGATTGTATTTCTGTTTGACAGGTCGTCCTGACTTCCTGTATTAGGAGCCTGAAATCCTTCTTTGTGGGGATGTGTTTAATATAATCCCTCCAGGAAGAGTACTCCACATCATCTGCTTCTGATGAAGAGTGGATATCTGCCAGTTTCTCCTCTTGGCGTGAATCATAAGGCTATGGAAAATCCTGGTTTTGGGCTGTTTGTAATGGCACATTCTGTATAGGTGCATGTATTGGAACTGCCGCCAGGTGGCGCTGTGGCGTTGGGAGTGAAGTACGAGTTTCGTCCGATGAATCTGGATTTGGGCGCTGATTGGCTGGGGAGCACTGGCTACTCGAGCCCCCGGCTTTTCGGCTCGGTTGCGGCCTAGGTGTGTTGCCAGATACATAGGCCCCTGATTGTGGGGATGTGAGCAAAGGGGTGCCCGGGAGCGGTACCGGGTCATCCGGGCTTCGGGGGACATCTTCTACCTCCCCTCCTGCGTGCTCAAGCAAGGGCTGTCGTCTGGCCCCAATATGGGTAGGGGAAGGCCTCACTGCGTCTCTCCCCTCCTCTCCCCCTGCACTCACACCATCCTCCGAGCCTCCCGCCGAATCTCGGCAGCCCGATGGAGACCCAGTCTGCGGTGACATCGGGGTTCCGGACGATCCTGACGAGGAAGACCCTGATAGGTCTGAGCCCTCTCGTCCCGGCTGTGTGTGTGCCGCGTCGTTCAGCCCTCCTCGAGGTGAGGCCGGCGGCGCCATCCCGCGAGGCATAGACTCCTGCGGCTCACTCGGGTCAAAAAACGACTTGATAATTTTGGCCGGTTTTTGCTTTTGTGTCTGCTGAGACTTGGCTGATCTGCGGGGGCCAAATTTGCCCATGTCGGCTGCTGTATGTGGCTGTTAGGCTGTCTATTTAGACGGTCCCGGTCGGAGCCCTCTGATAATGCGGCTGGTCCAGGCGGCCATCAAACCACACCCCCAAGAGCTTCATTTTTTAAAGTAAGCAAGTAATATGATTGGTTGACATTGGTGTATACAATTTAAAGAGAGTCTATTCACGAAGCTGCCGAAGGATCTGGCCGTAGCTTCGGCCGATCCTTCGGCTAGCTTCGGCTCCAGGACCCCTTCGGTTCAGTAGAACCAAAGGGGTGCTGTACGGGCTATTCACAATAGCCCGTACAGCTCCCGATCATGGCCGAGGGCAGCCGAGTGAATAACCGTTGCTGTGTCTTTTTTTTCTTTATTCTGAGACGATCGATGTCAGAATAGAAAACATTTTCCCATTGAAAAGCATTGGGACATTACTAGACATCGGACGAATTTTCGGAAATTCGGACATTCAAGTGTATCCGAATTCCGAATTACAGACATAACGAATGCAAACGAATTCGAATTTTCATTTCCGAAATTCGGTAGCGGTAGTTCGAACATTCGTTTCGTTTTCTGTTCCTATTCGTTTCTTATCTTCGTGAATAGACCCCTGAGTGTTTGAGGAGGCTTCTCTTGCACCTCGTGTCTTGTGGCCTTTGAGGATGGTGACAGAGGCCAGGCAGACACTGAGTGACACGAGTGCTCAGGGAAACCCAGAAATCGAGGTCACAGCAAGCCGAGGTCAAGCCAGGAGGTCAGATGAAGTACCAAAGGGGGAAGGCAGAAGAATAATCCAGTAAACGTTCCGAGGTCAAAAGGCAGGCAGCAATCAAGGAAGGTCGATGAGGCAGAAAACAGGTCAAAATCCAGGAAACGGTGATATTCAGGTCAAGGCAGGAATCAGGATACAAACAGGAGCTGATAAGACAATCCAGCAACTACTGAGCATGTGCCCCGGGTTTAAATAGGGAAGTGAGCTAATCAACCCCATCACTTCCGGTGCGCCCTTTGGCGTGCTTTTCCGCGCCATAGACGTGTCACTTCCGATGCGCCATACGGTGCGTCTTTCTGTGGGGAAGATGTGCAATGTGCATGCGTGAGCGTGTCCTTGGCGCATGCGTGGAGTGGGTCTTTGGCGCATGCGTGGAGCGGGTCTTTTGCTAACTGTGTGTGTGTGTGTGTATATATATACATACATACATATATACATACATACATACACACACACAGACATACATACATATACACACACATATATATATATATATATATGTACTTTTTGATGAGTAAAATAGAATTTTAGATTCAGGGGGGAGTTTCTTTGACCCAGGAAACTGGCCTGGCTGTTTTGTGTTTTCCTGCTGTGAACCAACTTTTATCATTAACATTGTTTTTTACTTTATTTGGCCGCTATTGGTGTCATCTCTACTTCTGCTCTAAATCTAATTTAGACACATGTACGTCATAAAGCTGCTCATATACCTGTCGTTTATGGAATAAATCAGTAAAGAAGAACATAGTGAATGTGCACATTTCACTCACTTCCAGACTTTTATACAGCTGATATTGCAGTTTAAAGTCTGAATCCTTAATCTTTCTGCACTTCTGCCCTTCACTGTATGCTGCATAAACTGTAGTTAGAGGAGTATGGTGGCCTGTCTCATAAGTGGCCAGAACCAGGTGCTAAATAGTACCAGAAAGTGAACAGTTTAATAAATCTAGCAGTGTATCGCAATCCACTTTCTCTGTTTGGAATTCGCTACAAACAGTTGACAAAAGTCCTCCCAGGACTGGCTTCCAGGTATTAGCTGAATGGCAAAACCTTGCTGAAAGAAGAACAGTGAAGAGGGCCATTATCTGCAGACTGGAATTTTTGCTTACAGATTCTGCAAAATACTCACCATTTGATGTTCAAGGATTAAACATATCTCTTGGTCACACAATTTTTTTTGGTTGTAGTCATTTTAAATAGAATAGCTTAAATTAATCTGGTAACAGGGCCAAAAATGGTTTAATGAAAATGACGTATTCCAATTAAAATCAAATAAATATAATATTGTGCTCTGGGCAACTTGTTTTGATATACTTGACTTCTTCTCAAGGAGATTTTTTTCCAAAGTTTACTTATGACAATATAATTTACTTGTCCTTTTATAAATAAACCTTATGCTTGAATATACATTATTCCTTTTCTTTTTTCTTACTAAATGGTAGGAATATCTAAATTGTATGGCCGTAGTTACAGTAAGCTAAGGTCTACAGCAAATAACAATACTTAAAGATGAAATCCAAACAACCAAATAGTTTTTCTGATTCTTCCCTAAATGTCTTAATTTCTTACATACATTTTTTTGATGACACCATTAGTAGCTATATCATTGTTTTATTCACTACTAGTTTGTGAGAGACCCTGCAAATCATAAATCCTAATGCAGTGTGCAATTGTATTACTGGCTTCACTGACATGTATGGGTTATAGGACCAGCCTAAGTTGTTTTCTTGCAAACTACCTCTAAAAATGTTTTCCACATAGCCATGTATGAACAAACAGGGAAGAGTATGAAGGGTGAATGAATAACTCCTGTGACTCATTTATGTATGTGTGTGTAATGGGAACTGGAGCTATCTAGCAAATAAAATAAAAGCAATAAACAGGTGACAAGTGAAGTGCAAGTTTTTTTACATTTTTGGAAAAGTAAAAAAAAAATGAAGTTCCTGAAAGCTACTAACAAATGGGCTGGTTGTTCTTCAGTTGGAAGTCTGTGAGAATACAGACTTCCCACCAGTCTATTTTAAGCTCATATGGCTTTGGGCATTTTTTGGAAGTGACTAATGTGGAGTGGACAAAAAAGCTACCCCAATAAATGCTGTGCTTGATGTAAAAACATCTGTGCATAGTTATATGCAACTTAATTACCATCTCCTACCCTGTGCGCCTTATAAATTCACTATAGCACAAGTAAAGCCAATAAAAATATACAGGCACTATGAAAAAAATGATTTACTGTTTAGAAACCCACATGCACTGCCCCACATGCCCTGCAATTTAAGTAAAAGTGTAAAAACATAATTAACAAGATCACCCATTTTTACACTCCTACCATTTATCTTATATTCCATTTTAAGTATGACACTTGAAACCTTGGGCGATTTCCATTCTGCAATTCACCATTTACATAGTATAAAGCATCACAACATGTCGACTTGCTAATAGCAACTTACTTTCTCCTACGTGAAGATACCAAAAAGCTGGGTGTGCACTTTTTTTAAGAATCCCTAATGCTAAAAGGACAAAGGAGCATGTATCAGAAAATAGTCTGGAAGATAAATCTAGTATATCAGCCAAAATTGAAGCAAGCAAAGCAAATCACAGCTATATAGAAATGTAACATTCAGAAAAGTGTACAAGAAAAATAACGGATATAAAGAAAAAAGGTAAAATAAGACAACTGGGAAGACAAAAATGTGAAGAGGCAAGAACGCTTTAGAGTTTTAACAGACATCTTAAAAAGAAAAAAAAAATGCCTTAATTATAATGTGTTTTGCTTTGGCTTTTTTTGCTCTTTCAGTTTCTCAAAACATCAATGACTCTTCTAATAACTACTATGGCACAAACAGCAGTTCTGTAGCAGCTGCAATCTTGGTACCTTTTTTTGCCCTAATACTATCGGGATTTGCCTTCTACCTTTACAAACACAGGTAAAGAAAAAGCAATGTATATTTATCTTTAAACCTTATTATGTTTGTTCAATTATAATATTCACTATATGACAGTTGTGACAGCTGAATACAAGCAGTATTTGTTCGTATTTGAAATGGGTCCAGTGCTGCCTGTAATTTCATCGGAAGAGATTCCACTAGTTTCGTTCACTGTGCAGTTGAAGTAAATGGGTAACTGCTCTTGCAAGCATAGCCGTATGTGACCTGTGAGTTAATGACAGATTATTCTAAAGTGGCATGATATAAGGAACAATAATCTACATAGGTGCCCACTGCGGTCTATGCCTACCACTGTATTAAAATTAAGTTTAATCCAAAATCTGATAAAATATAAATTATTGTTAATAATTCTGTAACCTTTGTTATTTTAACTTATTTATCCTTAAGATGGCCATACACTTGAATATTTTGTTTCAGCCCATAGGCTGAATGAAAACAATCTAACATATTCCTCCATCCATAATAAAAGGCATTGATGGACAAATCTCATACTGTGGCTATTGAATGCTGTCACTGTCTGGCAGATAATTTTCTGCCTGGCTCCTTAAATCTTCCAATCAAAGGATGCTGGGTGGGATGCTGCCATCAGGGCCACCCATGGAGTGGATGTCAACTGGTTCATCAAGAACCTCCTAAAATGTGCTCAGTTTATGGCCAGCTTAATGACTGTGCTGTGGTCTCTATGCAATCATTTATTTTGCCCACATTTTGAAATGTCATCATCCCATCAGCACTGGGTCTGTCTTTTTATTTCAACACATATTTTACTTTTTGAGAAATGATTAGAATCAATAGAGGACATATCAATGAGAAAATAAGTAATCAGTAGCAGTAGTATATTTATAGCTATAAATAAAAGGTAATTGCTACTGTCAAATTCTTTCTGACCATGAAGGGACAACTTCTGTTAAACAATGGTGTTAACTGGCACTAACTTAATGAATATCCTATACTGCATTGATTTTATCAGCCAGAAGCAGTCTACAAATTTGTATGCTTATGACCTACATGTTAATATAGAGTGGTGGCCTATTGTGCTTGTTTAATAAAGTTAAAAGAAGCAATGACTATGTATTAACTCCACAGCAGTTATCCAATCAAGACGCTGTATAAAATTACTACTTGTTACGCCTACTATAGGGGTTCGGTGTGAAGCGCAACTGCGGAGGGGGTTTGAAGGAGATGTGGAAAATAGGCTTCTCAGGCGTGAGTCTCAGGCGTCACTCCCAGTCTTAAGGGGGAGTTTAAGACTCTTGCATCACAGCCAGTGTAAAAAATGAAATATCAGTAATGCTATTATCTCATAGCATCCCAGTAAGTTAAATCAGCAAAGTCAAAGGTGCAATAGAATACACTGGCTGTAGCCAGGAACGGTTGTGTTGGTAGGCAAACAAGTCAAATTTATGCATCAATTTGTAAAGTCCAGCAGGAGATCAGGCATATGGGATAACTGACAGTCTGTATTAGGGCTCCAACTGGAGCGATACTTGCGGTTTGTAACTTGTTGCAGCACAGCCACAGGGTGTGAGTCCGAGTGATGCTTGGTCCGGCAAGTGGAGAAGGGTTCCAAGGTTTCTCAGGGTTCAGGAGGCAGCAGGCGTTCAGACTGCAATCGTAGAACGCCATGCTACCTCAGCTGGGGCTTTAAATAGCCCAAAGATGTGGGAGGAACCTCCAGCCGCAACGAGCGACTTCCGCGTTCCAGCGTGGAACGCAAGCCGCTCGCCTCATAATCAGGAAGTTGAGCGGCTTCCGCGTTCCACAGTGGAGCGCGGAGCGGCCGTCACAGCAGCCAGCCTGACCGAGGCGGCCTGGAGCGGAGATGGATCATCACACTACTCTTGATTCATCCATAGCTATCATAGTGCCACCTTCCACTTGTAAAGTACAGTACCTCACAATGACCAGTCAAAATCATCTCTTCAAGTTATTGGTCTACATTAAATTAAATAGACATTTCATAAATTGGATTCATGTGGGGCCATTTTACAATGCTCAGTCTTTCTACACTGTTTTTAGGGCCATGCTTCTATCAACAAATGGTTAACTGTTATTCACTAGCAGATATTAGACATTCACAATTCAAGAGTTAACTAATTCATTTTTATTTTAATATTGTGTGCTAGGGAAAATCTCCAAAACAATTAAACACAAGACCTCTGACAATATCTGCATATTAGCTGAAGTTTTTCAAAACACATTACAATAAAAATGCTTATATGAAACTTATGTATATTAATAATACTATCATTCCTTGTTGTTTCTTCCCTGCTTGATCCTCCTTTGAAACATAATAATAACTAATTTACTTCAATAAAATATAGATATACAGATAAATCCCATGAGCAATACCCATCAGTGGAAAAATGTTATGAAATTCAGCAATTACCTGCTGATTACAACAATGAATACAACCACTATAATAATAAAAATAATCTTAATATAAATACATTGGGAAGTTTGCAGTTACATGAACATAAATTAAGAGCTACATTTAGGCTAGTGAGATGAGAATGAAAGGAAAACATTTTTATTAAATTAGCTTTGCCTTCAGTGAGCAGAACTATATGTTTTCAGTATTATATGCATGTAGTTTGAAAAGTACTATTAATTCCATGCCAAAAAGCATGACTCCTACTTTTGATTTAGCAGTGTAAGATAACAACAATGTATTTAACTTATTACACATAAAAATAATACCTTTGTTGCTCTTGTGTATTCTATGGGCCTGTGAGAAATAGTAACACATTCTGTTAAAGTTGCAAATGTTACAGTAGTCCTTCAAGAGACCTTTCTGAATACAGATACACAAAGACTGAAATATTTCAATGCCTTTGTGAGTTGTAATTAAATTTGGCTGATAGAATGTTATTGTGTCTGTGTGAACATTCTATAGACAACTGTTAAATTCTGCCCACAGCTGAGGACAACTGTCAGAGTGTAAATATTTCTTAGCAAACACTAAAAGTACTGTATGTTGGAACAAATTAAACTTACACTTTATAGCCAAATTTTAGCCAAAAGATACCAAATGGGGTTTTGTCTGATGCCATTAACCACAATATACCATACACAAAAGTCTATAAGATCCAATTTTATTGAGACATGATTAAAATCCATAAAATCATAAAAAAACATTGGTGGTGATACCGAACAAATATATTGACCATCACTATATTAGTGATTGAGGATGCCTCCCAGACCTACTACATTGATATCAAAATATATGATCACATAGTGGTTGAATAATTGCCATAAACATCATTGAGTGTAGTTAGTGAGGGCCTGTACTTTCTTTTTTGATCCATTTCGCACTTGTGTGCTTCTTCAGGAAAATAGGGCTACCTGGAGTCCCCAAATAGACAGTGTTATACACCTCTAAGGAAAACCATAGCAATATAGCACCAGTACATCAAAACATACATCACTTATTGATAAGTTAAAACAGATATAAATTGATGGTCACACACACCGATTCACATTCTACCGCAACCAGCAGAGAAGCATACATGTGTATTCACATAGGGGGACATAAGGGACGCCCAGACAGGGTTCCTATGTGTAACAAATAGTCATATAAAACTCATGTCCCCATTGGGGGGGACCAAAAAAGAAACAAACTTTTCCTATTGGAAACTTAATATTGCATATCACCTAAATCGTATACCCTATATTGTGGATCCTCCACAGGATCATCAAGACCGTACCATAGTGGTCCTGCTGACAACATCCATAGACAAACACTAAAATGTAAAAAAAGACCAAAACAGAGGCTAAAACCAAATTGAGTTGGAATCAGTATCTCATTAATATGTAAAAAAAGTTAGATGTCTATACGCATTAAAATTGACATTAGTAGTGTAGGTGTCAATCTACACACTAGTATTGTGAATGCTGAAATTTTCCCCATGCGGTGCATTTTCTGCGTGTTTTCGTTGCAGTTATAACACGTTCGTGCATTTCTGGACTGTATCCGGATCGGACAAAATGTGACATGCAGTATTTTCTCTGTCCGGACCGGAACGGACTGCGCACGTGAGAACTGTAGCCCATAAAACACATAGGGATACATTGGGATGCATTTTGGGTGCAGGAGCGCACGGTTCTGGTCCTGACACAATCTGGATGTCATGTGAACAAGCCCTCAGGGCTGTTTTTTAAACTGGAACGCGGTAAAACGCGTCAAAAGCACATCAAAATGCGTAAAAGCGCACTGCACGCATAGCACTGTGTCTGCAGATCTGCTCCAGATCTGGACCAGAAAATGGTGTGAACAAGCCCTCAGTGCGTTCCAGTGCGTTTTTGATGCGTTTGCATGCGTTCCAGAGCATTCCAGAGCAGGTAAAATAGGGCTTGCTGCATTTTTTTTACATGCTCTGGAACTGAACGCTGTGGTGGGAACTAGAGCCCAAAATACCATTGGAATACATTGGATGCAGTTTTGATCCGGTCTGTAACTGCTCCTGGAATGCGCTTGGTGTGAACTAGCCCTTAAGGCTTGTTCACACGATTTTCTGATTTTCTGGTCCAGATCTGGAGGAGATCTGCAGATGCAGTGCTATGCGTGCAGTGCGTTTTTTATGCGTTTTTGACGTGTTCCAGTAAAACAAATGTTCTCTCCAAATAAAGGCACTTTTCCAGGTCTATCCCCAGGTATTCTGAGACCTCACCCCCAGTTTAGTCAAATACGTAGATAAAAAAACCAAGGTTGTGATGGGGTTTTCTTAAGAGAGGACTCAAAAATGATTATATAAAATTATTCAGTTCATAAAAATGTTTTTCCATGATCGTAGTTAAAAAATCACAAAGAATATGTAAACATGATATCAAATCCCTCATTTCTTGCATATAAATTAATTAAATAACATAATCCATTTATTGATAATAATCATTAATCCATCATTCTGTTACATGTACATAATTATGCCGCTCCATTTGTTCACTACGCGTTTCACAAAATAGCTTATTCAGGGGTTTTT